TCGTTACTTAAACTGTCAGCAACATAACTTTCTGCAATTGTGGCTGATGTCTGTTGATTGCTAATACATCAACTCCCGTATTAGCCAGTAACGTTGCCGATGTTCTTCAGAATGAATGGCCGTATATGTTTCAGGATGTTCTAGTTTAAAAAACTGTGCAATCTTATTAAGAATCATAGAGCTTTGTACGGTGATTTGTAGCTGAATTATCGTCATTCAAAGCAAAAATGTCCATTTTGGCTTTAATAATTAATTACTCAAAAACTAATGATCGTACAGAAAATCTAAGTTGGATTTTGAAAACTTCAAAGTATCCTCTAGAAGCCGTTCTTACCGTTTTTTGATAAAAAAAATCTATTAAAAAAGAAAAAATTGCGTGTATAAGGATTTTCGATGAACTTGAGATAATTTTAAAAATAATGAATAGACTATGGATATTTTCGATTTTATTTAACCTCAAACTATCCCAAACAAACCCTCAAGAGTTCAATTCGCTACGATTTTTCTTTCACTGCGATCCGATTGATTGAAATTGTCACCTTTCCTAAAAATCAATTAAAGAATAAATTTTGCATGTTTTTTTTTTCATCAAAGAACGTCAAAATATTATAAATTGTAAGAAAATATTCCAGGACGAATTGCACTTATTCAAGTTGCTCTAATTCTCGCTATCGTTCCTTTTATAGGGCCCCAAGACGAAGTTACTCCCAGGGCCTCCAAAAGTATAAATCCGGCCCTGCCGAGCTTAGTTGCCTCGAATGTAAATTTACCGTGGTGTTGTATGTACTCGTATATACCACTGGTGCTCATAACTTATACAGTCCACAGTTCAAATGGAAATAAAACTGGATAAATCTGGAGAGCTAATTATTTATTCATCGCTTAGTTAACTGTGTGTTATGCGTTCTATTCAGCTAAAAAAAGAAAAAAAATCGAAAAATCCAGGAAATGAACGTTAATTAACACCTTTGCGTTCTAACTGATTTCAATAAATTCTAGTTAGCACCATCTGAGGCGGCACTTATCTCTTGGAATTCATGGTCTTCCCTGAATTTGCTTTTACCTAAATACTGTTTTTATACGTGTTATAAATAGAAAAGTTTATTAATTTATAGTATTATATAATTACCGTGTATTCAATCCGGAATTGACATAGTGAGCAAAGTAATTACTTTTACAGAAATTGGATAAATACCCCCACCACCAATCAAATTTGTTCATATTTTTTTACTCGTGCAACTAAAGGAAACAACTTCGGATAAAAGTAAATTTAGTTAAACCGTATTTGATCCCTGGTAGTTCCATTTACATGGAAATTTGGGACAGCCATTGCTATGTATACCGGGTGTCCAAAAAGTCTGGAAACACCTGAATAATTCCCCAGGTAAATTATTTTGAAAAATGTTAGGGTCATTCTTGTAGTAACTTTTGACGAGGAATTCATTTTTTTTAATGGAAACCCCCATTTTCGACGTCGGCAATCGAAAGAGCGGGAAATTTTACGTCCAAAACTCCAAGGTCATAAATCAGGGTTCACCTTGAAGGTCATTCAAAGGTTATTTATATTCGAGGGCTGGATATCTCCGAAGGACGCAGTTGGTGAAAATAGTACGAAGCTCACTTTAGTTATTTTGTTTAATTGCAATTAGTGGTGACCTCAAACTCGACCTTCTTGGTGTCCTTTAAGGTCATTTCAAGGTCAATGGAGGTAACCTTGAAATATCCTTCAAGGTCATCGTCAAGATCAAATCCAAGGTCACCATTGAATTCCTCGTCAAAAGTTACTAACGAGCGTTCAAATAAAAACGTGGTCGAAGTTGGCTCTGACACATTGGACGTAGGGAGTAGCTTATAGCGACCAACTTAACCTCATTTCTCAACGAGCTGTATAGCAGCTGTCAGTTTCAATAACGTTAATGACTATATAACTTTATTTTAAAGAATAATCGTGATAACAATAACAAACAATTAAAGGAGCTGCGGAAAGTGTCCCCCTCCTTGTTCCAAGCACTTTTCACACCTGTTCCTTAAAGAATTAAAGACATTTTCTAAGATGCTCGGGGTATTGTTAATTTCACGAATCTTGTCTATAAGTCGAGCCTGCAGATGGTTTAAGTCAGGAATAGGCAGTTCAAAAATAGTGTTTATAAGGTAAGGCCACAAAAAGAAATCACACGGAGTAATATCACATGACCTCGGTGGAAATTCATGTTTAGCATTGAGACTTATTAGTCGATTTTGGAAAACTTCCCTCAACATATTCATCGTCTCGCCTGCCGTATGTGCCCTTGCGCCATCTTGTTGAAAGTAAAAGTTTGTAATTTCGTTTTCTTCCAGCTGGTTAACAAAAGGAGCGATAATTTCTTCTCTATACCTTTACGCAGTAAGAGTACCATTAAAAAAAATAGGTCCATAAATCCTCCTTCGATTGAGAGCACACCAAACTCCAATTTTTTGAGTGTGTAGAGGGCCCTCGACAAAAAAGTTATCTGGTTTTTCAGAAGACCACATTCTCATATTCTGTGAGTTTACGTAACCACTTAAATGAAACCAGGCTTCATCAGAAAAAAAGGTGATATTATGAAGTTCATCGTAGTTGTTTAAAAACCATTCACAAAATAAAGCCCGTCGCGGAAAATCAACTTCATGAAGTTCTTGCTGACAAGTTAAACGATAGGAGAACAAACGCAAATCTTTTTTTAACACTGTGTGGCAGATATCGACTGATACTCCCACCATTTGTGATAAAACACGTACAGAAGTTCTTGGCGCATTTTCCATTATTTGTTGGACATTTTCTTTTAATTCTTCAGTCCGCTTTTTAGGAAAAACATTAACACAACGCTGAACTGCACTTTGAAAAATTTTGTACTGAACAACGCCGGGAAATTGATTTTGAAATTCTATGAAACATTCCTCAATAGAATACTTCCATATTCCATCAATCTTGCGTCCATTTCTAAAGTAGGACTCTATGATAAACACTTTTTGTTCTTGAGAAAACACCATTTTAAACGCTTTTTAAAACGAAAACATCCAAATTTTCAGAACCAACTTGACCACGTTTTTATTTGAACGCTCGTTATAAGAATGACCTTAACATTTTTCAAAAATAATTTACCTGGGACTTCCATACTTTTTGGGCACCCTGTATACATAATACGCTTTTTAGTGGTGTGTGAGAATTTATCTACTTCTCATTGTAAGATAAGAAATAAGTTTGTTAAAAACATCCCCTGACCGAAGTTTTTAATTTGCAACGTAGCAAAATAATTAAGAAATAATAATGACCTTAGAAATGCAACAAATAAACAGTTACAAATGTATCATTATTACTATTTAATTGCTGACTATTTATGAAACGCATACACATATTTTTTTCTAAACGGTTTTTATATTTTTACGAACCTGCTGTCAACAATAGATATAACAAAACATACGGATGTTGTTTAGATAAAAAAAAAATTAATATACTTTCAGAAAGCATGTGGCTCAAACCGTTTTAATAATATTTTGTTTATATACGTATGTCATAATTAAACTTTACGTTTATTGTTTTATGTCGTCTGCATTTTCAGGAAAATGTAGTAATTGGATATACGAATTTACTAGTAACGTTTACTTCATGTTTCGGGGAAAACAAATATTTTTTCGAATCATTTATTTATACAACGATTTACAGGTGTAACAAGTCTAAAAATATTTTCCGTGAACCAAATCAAATTGGTAGTTGAGTAACCAAACATTCTCCACAGGAAAGGTGTACGATTTTTGGGACGAAACTGTTACCGGGAAATTATACGAGGATTGATCAAAAAGTAACGGGAATTGTTAATTTTCTCGAAAAATATTTATTTTATATTCAATTTTTATACCATCCTCCTCAAAGTAGTCACTCTGTGACATTATACACTTATGCCAACTTAGTTTCCAGTTTGAGAAACACTGAAGCGCCTTTTTAGGTATTGTCTTCAGCACGGTTTGCGATTTTGCCTTTATCTCATCTAGTGTCGAAAAACGTTGTCCTTTGAATATCCTTTTGATTTTGGGAAATAGGAAAAGTCATAGGGGTCATGTCTGGAGAATAAGGTGGCTGCGGCATCGCAAAGGTTTTGTGTTTCGCCAAGAAAGAATGAGCAAAACGGTATCAGTGCAAAATCTACTCGTGTTCTTCTCGTTTTATCCTGATTGTCTCAAGGATATTTCGCAAAACTTGTAGGTAATATTACTTGTTATAGTCTTTCCGAAGTCAGTTGAACATGTACAAAAACGCCTAACAATAAAATTTAATGAGTTTCGTAGGCATCCTTAAAAAAGTTTTCTGCCAAAGGTAAAACTTTTATAATAATTTGTATATAATGTGTAGAAAATTTCTATTATTTGTTCATTCGGCCAACAACATAATATTTTAATTATTTATGTCCTCAAACAATTTTATTATATTGATGGTAAATTTCGTTTTGTTCCGTTTCAAAAGATCTCCAAAATGCCATGTTGTAATAATATTAATAAACAAAAAATATTCCTCTTATATCTCCCTTTCTCAATTGTAATATGAATGATTAGTAAAAGGTGCCTATAATCAATTAAAATTATCCGAATCACACCAAATTCTGCATTGCTGCACTGCACTGCTGGTCAATTTGTCAACAACTAAGATTTATTGCCTAGTCGCCCAGTGCAGCTGTGTTATACGCCGTTTGCCCACTTCTACGTTTAATTTGACCAGACCTGTATATGAGTATGGCTAAATAAATATGGTAACAAGTTTTTCAAATATTTCAATGCCGATTTGCTGCGTCAGCGACCGAACCTGGTGATTGGAAAGACTATATCTGTACTACTGGACTATTCCATTGTAGTCGACGAAAACGGTTAAAAGAGCCTTCACATTTGACCAGATCTCGCCTTATCTTCAATGTCTTCTTGGCCTACCTGAAAACATTACATACTTTTTTAATTAGTAACTTCTAACCAGTTGTTTTCTTATTTTGTTCTAGGACTACGGCGGTACATTGGAGTGGTCCGGACAAGTACAAAGTTACGTATTAGCCTCGTTCTACTGGGCTTACATTGTATCTCAGGTGGTGGGTGGATTCGCCACCCAAAAGTTGGGCACCAAGCGGGTCTTCGGTTACGCCCAACTGGCGACTGCACTGTGCAGTCTGTGCATTCCATGGGCCAGCGAGACCCATTACGGGATCGTCATAGCCCTAAGGTTCGTCCAAGGCTTCGCCTCGGTAAGCAGAAGATTTGAATTACCTCTTCATTGTAAACATGTTGATCGAGACTAAATGCGATAAATTAACTGCATTTGATGTTTTGGCTTTGTCAGAGATTGTTGATAGAAGTGTTTAGACGCAGAGTTAACTCAAGTATTTTGGTGGTAATGATTGATGTCGGTATTTTAATATGTCGCTTGTTTACATTTTTTCTAATTAAAAAATTTTTTAGGGCTTGACGTGGCCAGCAATGTATGCTCTTGTAGGGCATTGGATCCCAGTCCCAGAAAGAAGTCGATTCATGTCGAGTTTCCAAGGTAAATTATTTTTCTGGTATATTTTAATTTACTCTAACTTTTTGTTTTTAGGTTTCAGTATCGGAATAGGGGTAACCTACCCCCTTTGCGGTTTCCTAATCGCCCATCTCGGATGGCGCTCCGTGTTCTACACGACGGGCTCCATCGGCGTCCTCTGGTGCATAATATGGTACTTGCTCGCCTTCGACAGCCCCGAGACCCACCCGAGAATAAGCCTGAGCGAGCAGCAGTACATCAAGGAAAACACCGTCAACACCTACGCAAACACCAGGAAGCAGGCCGTGCCCTGGAAGGCCATCTTGACTTCCATGCCGGCCTGGTCTATCGGCATCACCACGTTCGGCAGGATCTGGGTCCACTATACTTTCATCATTCCCGGGCCCACTTACATGAAGAGTATCTTGGGTTTCAGTATCGAGAAGGTGAGTAAGATTTAACTTAACTGAAATTGGCCCCAACTTTCTCTTGAACGACTAATTAATTTTGATGATCTTTTTTTTAATGTGGGTGACATATAACCTATAAAATATGTCATATATCAAATGTCATTGCTATTCAACGCCTACTGGTACAAAGCACTGCTTATTACCGACTGCTTTGTGCTAGTAGGCATTGATCAGCAATGACTTTTAATGTATGACATATTTTATAGGTTATATGTCACCCACATTAAAAACATGTAGGTAAATATACATCCTTATAGCTAAATCATCGCCTCATCTTTGACGTACTGATGAGAACTTATAAGTTTGAAATTGGCCCATGTCATTTGATTACAGGTGTAATTCTGTTGGGTGTGGGTATGTAGTCGGCAGAGTAGTTGTTTCCCACAATGTTATTGTCATTGTGCGTGAGGGGATAAGTTTTTTTTCTGAAATTTGACACAGTCGTGTATGGTGCGCCAGCTGAGATAGTGAATGTTTGCTTGAATTAAACTGTAGTCCTATCGTTCTCGAACAATTTTTTGATTCATGTCACTATCTATGCCATTAATTGAAGTAGCAAAATTAAATCACACAAGTTTATTATAAAACTTAATTCATAACAACAATAACAATAGAAACAGTCGGTGACAAGAAAGAACAAAATGAATAACAAAAGCAAAGAAGAAAAAGATTTTGCCCGTCTTACCCAGTTTCTACAAACTAACACAACTGTTGTCTTGCTTCGCCGTAAATTAAAACGATATCCATCAACTTTCAAGTTGCTATACACGTAAACCATTTTTGACACTTGAAAAACTAATGTAAACACTATCACAAAAACGTAAATACTAACATCGGATCGGTACAACGCGAATGACGCTGGAGACTACAGTGGTCCAGTGATGTAAATTTGAAAATAATTTTTTTCTCGCAAATTATAAGGATTTTACAAAAAATTTTTTTACTATATTTACTCCATTTAACTATGACGTATCCCTAAATTTTTTTGGATATCTCGTGAATTACCTTGTATCGTATAAATAGACTGGATTATAGTTTCAATTTTTTTCAGTTATTTTCAAATATTTACAAAAAAATTGTTTTAGTTAAATTTTTATTAGATTTGGAAATTATATCGCCGTTTTTCAAATTAACTTTAATGTTTTACTGCATATTTAAATATTAAATTTATTATATATGAAAGGAGAAAAAACACTTCGAATTCATTTGAAATCAGATTAGTAAAGCAAAACTAATGTTTATTTTAAAACTGTGCCGAAAATATTTGTTAATTTGCAATGAGTAAACCGCAATTAACGTTAAAATAAAAGGTAAATATTAATATTTATGGAAAAATATGACCACAAAGTAAATTTCCAATAATGTCATGGTATCCGAAAACATACTGTACGCCCGTCTCATTTGCATTCATGCTTCATCATTTATTATAATAAGTTCTATTTAAAAAAACACTTCTAGAAAACAACTTATGTAAAATTATAAATATATGCTTGGAATTCTTACATCATCCAAGATAGTACGTAACAATGCAGATTAAAATTCTTAAATTACTATAACAATGAAACGGAAAGGTGTTTGATGAATAATAATATGTCGCCCCCACTCCCACCCTGTTTTTGACTTCCTACCCAACCCTTACGGTTAGAGTGAGGGGTATTACAACATGAAACACGTTGGACATAAAAAAAGTGAGAGAGTGTGCCGAGTACAACTTTGATTTGAGAATAAAGGGATTTTAGTAGGACGTGAACAGTATATAATTGTTAATCCATAATGCATAGAGAAATGATTCAATTTCTAAACCCCTTAAAACCGTAATGCACTGGTTCCCTCGACAATATATGATTTATTACTTTGCATCGAATATGATCCTGCTGTAGATTTTACGACGAAAATTAATGGGGAAAAGTCATACAGTGTTGCTCAAAAACGGTTAGTTTTCGAGATACAGGAAGTTGAAAAAATAAATAACATTTTCTTTAATATCTTTCTACTAGTTCGAGCCCATTTTGTGAAATTTTGTATCCGTGGGTTTTTTGGGATGAGAAATTCGAATCTATTGACGATTTGATTGTATCTTCTAGATCTAGAGGGCGCCACAAGAGACCATTAGGACACATTTAAACTGCCACAAATTTTTTGTGCCACCGTGTATTTCGCTTTGGACTGGAAAACTCTTTTCCCCTAACTTTTCTGCTTAAAAAGACTTGTATATAGCTTGCTAATATCTGTGAAACCAACTATTTTCAGCAAAAATGCATTTACATTTTGTAAATGCATAAAAAAATTTGTTTAAAAGTTATTTTTATGTCGTTTAGATTGATTACATTGTTTAGACTGTGTTAGATTGATTATATTGTTTTAGAAAGTACGTTTTTTACTGTAATTGCCCTGTTTTGTTTAAAGGCATATTTCTTGCTAATAATTTCGTTTATCAGTGATAAATTCGAATTTCTCAATCCAAAAAACCCCCAGATTCGAAATTTCATGAAATTAGGTCGAAGTAGTCGCAAGATATTAAAGAAAATGTTATTTATTTTTTCAATCTCAGCACCCTATATCTCGAAAACTAAGGGTTTATGAGCAACATTCCCCATTAATTTTCGTAGTAGAACCTATGTACATATTTAAGATTCACCGTGTAAATTTTTTAATTAAATTAATTGTGATAAGTGTCATAAAGAGAGGTGATATGTTTCTATTACTTTCAGAACGGCTTGCTGTCGGGAGCCCCGTTCATCTGTAGCTACGTGGCATCAGTATTATTTTGTTATGTTGCGGACAAACTTGTGACGAAAAACTACATGTCTTTGACCAATGTTCGTAAAGTTATGACTGCCTTATGTGAGTATTAAAAACTATTAAAAACACAATGCTCTTCCAAGAAATACGTCCGAAGGTACGTTATGCAAAATCCGTTTATTTTCCAGCCCAAGTCGTGCCCGGCATTCTAGTCCTCCTCATTAGTTACCTCGGCTGCGACATAGACCTCGTCTTAGTGGTTTGGTTTTTCGCCGTGACTCTGATCACCGCTTCCTACGCTGGCGCCATGGCTAATGTGGTGGATATAGGTGAGTTGGTTGAAAGTACAATAAAGAGCGACAAAAACGATTTTTACCTTTTCAGCTCCAAACTTCGCGGGACCAGTACTAGCTTTTGCTCAAACCATACACATGAGCGCCAGTTTCCTGAGCCCCCAGGCCGCGTTCTTCATTCTGGACGAGAAGGAACATCTCATGTCGTCCTGGAGAATGGTGTTCTACGTCACGGGGTTTGTGGCCGTTTCGACCTACATCGTTTACCAGATTTGGGGAACGGGAGACGTAAGTACCCGTATCGTTAACGTAATACAGAACCTTCGGCGATTCTTCCCGAGTTCCAGATAATCGGATCGGTTTTAGCTCTTATAGGCTATTTTGAAGCGGCGTGGAGCAATAAATCATTTTTTTTTTAATCGGCAAACGTAGGTACGCAGATTTTAAAATTTGCTCTAACAAAGGGTATATACAGGGCGTATATTTGAGAAGGGGTGAGTCTTTTAGGGGCCATAGTACGTGTTTTTAGAATGGTAATTTGAAATATTTTTTTTTAAGAGGGCTCTATAGCAAATAGCAAATAGGCAGCTAGCAATACATTTTTATAGATTTTATCACCAGTTTGTCTAAATATGGATCATTGCACAAATAACAGACTTTCCTCCATTTTAACGCAGATTTTCTATAAAATGGACTTAGTTTGAAACTCAAATTACTTTTTGTTGTAAAGAAATTTGTTATTTGCTTGTTCAAAAGCGGCAAATTACAAATTTCTTTACAACAAAAGGTAATTTGAGTTTCAAACCAAGTCCATTTTATAGAAAATCTGCGTTAAAATGGGGGAAAGTGTTATTTGTGCATTAATTCATATTTAGACAAACTGTGTAATAAAATCTATAAAAATGTATTGCTGGTTGCCTATTTGCTATAGGGCCCTCTTAAGTCAAGTAAATATAATTCGTTTTTTAAGTTGCACTCTTGTCTACGCCGTTACTGGGCAGCTCCCGAACTTGGGTGTATGTACCCGTGTATCAGGTAACTAAGGATTTTTGTGTTACGGGCACATTTACAATTAGACGGAGGAAAGAGTCAATCTGTAGAAATTTTTTAAACTAAGAAATATTCATTCTACATTCATTGGACTGTAGGTGTTTTTTAATTTAATAGGATATTCAAGTATAAATTTTTTTTTTAATTATTTCATCGTCAAAATGACAGTTGTAGTAGTCACATCAAGGTAGCGGCACGACTTCCAAAACGGTATATAGCCTAGCTCCCCCTGAAATTCAATCTTCAACAAAATACAAAAATGTTCTTATTTAAAACGTGTGTAGTTTCTGTGACATTGAGAAAAATGGAAAAAATGCAAACTTGAAAAAACGGCACGCATTTGAAGACAAAAAAAAATTTTTCATGCGAAATTTCTGCAGAATTTGTATAAAAAAATAGTTTTCCCTCATATACAGGGGACGGCATAAGTCAGGCAACGCTCTCGAAAAATCGGCATAAGTCCGGCAACGCTCATAAGTCTGGCAACGCTGTCGAAAAAGATTAAAACGAAGCATGTTCGTGCTTCAGATAGTTGTATCTGTGTCATGAATATGATAACACGTGCTCGTCGAGTAGACGCGTTTTCAGAATGAAAATTAATGCTCTTAATGCAAATTGGTTGCCTGACTTATGCCGACCCCTGTAGAATAGGGTGGCCCAAAAAAAACGAATATTTTTTTTTCGTGTCTTGTAAAAATATGTTAGTTTAGCATGTTTTAAGAGCCCCCTCAAAAAATCTGCTCAAAAAAAATGTTTTTCGAGGTCACTCAAGATTTTTAAAAATTTCCAAAATCAAAAATTTAATTTTTTTCTTGTTATATTATCATTTTCTAAGTTGAAAAATATTTTAAATTCTAAAGGTCACTCATAATTATTTTAACTTTAAAAGTAGTTCTAAAATGTTTTGGAGCGACCTCCAAAAATAAATATTAACGAACTAATAATTTTTTTTATTGAATTTGACGAACAAGAATAGAAATAAATCACGAGACACTTACAAAATTTCTTGAGGCAAAATTTACCGCACTGTATCAAATGTTTATAATTTTTTAATTTTTTAAGATTTAAGTGTCGTGATTTATTTTTATTCTTTTATTCATCAAATTGGATGAAATTTGGTGTGATGATTCTATGCAATAAGAAGTTTAATTGGGAAAAGTATGAAGATCCTAGGTATTATTCAAGTGTCTGAAAAAAAGTGACAAATAAACTAGCATTTTTTGCAATTTTTTAAATAATTTTTCCGATTTTTGCAATAACAATAATAATTTTTTCGAATTGCAACTAACTCTATCTTGTTCAAAATTTAATTACAAAACTTTTTTCCTCTTCCATTTTTGTCTAAAATGAATAGTTGCTAAGATGTCGACAAGAAATCCAAGAAAAAAATTAATTTTTTTTGCTATTTCTTTATACTTTTTTGCAATAATAATTAAGCACATGCTTTTTTTTATTTGCATAGAAAAATTATCATTTCTGATGTTATTTAGAAGCCATTAAAGCAAAAATCTCCGATCATATGCGTTTTACCCAACCCGAAACAGATACCGCCTGGACTATTAAGATATTTACGGAATAGCAATTTTTTTACAAAAGTTTAACCCTGTATCTTGAAAACGAAGCATCTGCAGACCAATGTTTATATGAATTTTTTGTCTTAAAATCACTCCAATCGTCTGTTGAATTTATTGTACACTAATTAACACCCTGTATTCTTCACATACAGTTTTATTGTTTAAGAAACACCATTTATTTTTGTTTATTGTCTCCGATTTGATCAACGGCACATGCAGCGGTCTGTTCCCGTTCCATAATCCTGTTTCTTTTGCAGATCCAGCCGTGGAACTACACCAACGGCCCCGAGAGCGTACTGGAGCAAGAAGAGCTCATGACAGACAAGCCCTCTACAAACGGCACAGTATTAACGAAAAACGGCACGAAAACAGACAGTGTCGCTTAAAGCAATGTCACTTTCTGTACACTCTCAACCTTCGCCACTAAGTTGATTCACTTAATATTTTTTTATTTATTTATTGACACGAGATATTAGTGTTTATAAGTATGTTGGTTCCGGTGATGATTCAAATGTTTTGCCGACAATTGTGATAGAATTCTTTGTTATCGGCCAGGCTTTTCGGCCTAGGGTTATATCGTTCGTTTTTAAATCGTTCTTCGATACTTTCCCGAGTACAAATGTGCTCGATTTAAATTATTGTAATCGTACTAATACATTTACCCGATCACGAGGATGGAACGAAAAAAAAAATTGTGGGAGGAGGTCCGGCTTATTAATATTCTGTGTGTCACGGGAGTACTGACGGTATGGTAAGTCGGAATTAAACTTAAGGTTTCACGTAGCTTAGCTTTAAAATTCAATGGTATAATCCTGAGGATGTAGCCCGCGTCCCCTTAACTGCATGTTACTTAGATCGAATATGTAAAATGTGAGTATTTAAAAGAGTTTAGGGAGGTTTCCCGCATATATGTCTATGTATATTCCTCATTTTATTGTGATATGAAGTAGGCTTAGGGTAACTTTTTAGTGAGAGGAAATATGGAGCATAATTTACTTAAATATAAAGAGGTGAGACATTTTTTTTTCTCTATGTACGAGATAAGTGACCCGATTTGGTTAATAACATTGACAATAAATTATGCACGATATTTTGATGAAGTAGCTACGTTCGGAAAAAGTCGCACGATTCGTACTCCATAGATACAGGGTGATACGCTTGCGGTGTGTCTCAATTTACGGTTTACTGACTCGATAAATAAAAAACATGTGAAGTTGTCTTCAACTGTCTCAAAATTGGAAATATTTAGCCTGCTATGTTTTTTTTTAGGATTCAATTTTGGAAAATTTATGTTAACAATTTTTTTTTAATTGTTTTGATGCTTGAACGTAGCTACATTCTGGAGTATGTACATTAAAGTTGTATATTCTATCTCTATTATATATTGTATCTCTGAATGTTGAACGAAAAACCAAAAAAAAAATGATAATCATTTTCTCTCTAAAAATTTTTTCATTACACGACAGCTATTCCATGGTTTGTTTAAGCTGCAATAATTACAAAAATTACTCGTTTTGCATAAATTTCATCTAAAGTTTCACGTTTCACATTGCTTTAAAAATTCAAATCTTTACAGCAAAAGAACAATTTATGTTGGCTCTATATCAAACAGGCAACCAGTAATAAATTTTTATAGATTTTATTACACAGTTTATCTAAATATGAATCAATGCAGAAATAACAGACTTTCCCCCATTTTAACGCAGTTTTTCTATAAATGGACTTGGTTTGAAACTCAAATTACTTTTTGGTGTAAAGAAATTTGTAATTTGCTTGTTCAAAAGGGGCAAATTACAAATTTCTTTACAACAAAAAGCAATTTGAGATTCAAACTACCTCCATTTTATAGAAAATCTGCGTTAAAATGGGGGAAAGTCTGTTATTTGTGCATTGAATCATATTTTGACAAACTGTGTAATAAAATCTATAAAAATGTATTATTGGTTGCCTATTTGATATAGAACCCCTCAAGAATAGAAATTAATGCGACAGTTTGCGCTATTACATTGTATAGGTTGTGACCAACAATGCTTGTCTAATTTACTGATAAAATGTAGAACAGTAAAGGCTCTACGAAAATTCCTGTTACACTTATATTAAAGTGATAGACTCGACCACCGTACCTATACATTTTGAGTCTCCGAATCCAGTGTCCGCTTGAAGAAGTTGGCACGTTCAAAGTTATTTGAAGGTCAACTCTTGGATTTTGATGATAACACAATTTCTGACTTCAGATTTTATAAGAGCGAGACATTCTTCATTAGAATATGTTGTCTATTTATTTTTTAAAATCATATCAAAGGTTATTTGAAGGTCAACTCTTGCTTTTGATTGGTAATACAATTTTTGATCCCAATTGTGGAAGAGCGAGAAATGTTACTTTGGGGGACATGGTTTAGTTATTTTTTCATTTTCAAGATCACTTGAAAGGCATCTGATGACCTTGGGTATGACATTGAAGTCCATTATCAAGATTCTTTCAAAGGTCAGCTCTGAATGCCACAAGATCACCATCTCCAGAATATTCTGAGGCAGCAGAATTTAAAATGACCTTACTTTGAAACCAATTATGCTGAGGTCATTCTCTAATGAAGTCTACGTAGCCATTTTTATGCCCTCATGAAAATCAGTATGTCATGAATGCAAAAATCATAGTCTCACTGTCTTAGAGCCAATTCTAGTAATTTTTATCAAAATAATCCTCATTCAAATCCAAGAGCACCAAGCGATGGTCCTGGATGAGGCAAACAATTTTTGTAGACGTTATTTTCCCGATATAACGCTATCCTGAGACGTTCGAGAGGGAGATTTAACCTTTAAATGACCTTGAACAATGAAAAAATAACTCGATGTATTTGAACATAAAATTTCTCACTTCCAGAATCCGGGATCAGAAATTGTATTACATCAAAAACTAGAGTTGACCTTCAAATAACCTTGTCATGACTTTAAAAAATAAAACAAACACTTATTCGAACGTAAAATTACTCGCCCTTTCAAAATCCAGTGACAAAAGTTGTACTACGATAAAAAAAAAACAAGCATTGACCTTGAAATAACCTTGTCATGACCTTAAAAAATAAAACAACCACATATTTGTACATAAAATTGTTTGCCTCTTCAGAATCCAGTGATAAAAGTTGTATTACGATAAAAAATGAAGAGGTGATCTTCAAATAACCTTGTTACGACTTTAAAAAATAAAACAACCACTTATTCGAACGTAAAATTGCTCGCCCTTTCAGAATCCAGGGTCAAAAGTTGTATTATGATAAAAAAACAAGGGTTGACCTTCAAATAACCTTGATTATGTGTTAACTTTGTCAGACAGACACTAGATTTGGATTCAGCAACACAAAAACATTAATTCTTTAAGTAAAATATTGTTTACATTTACCACTTTCAACATTTTTTTTTACAATTTGAAATGGGCCATATATTTTTACCATGAAACTATTTTAATGTAGAATCCTGCGTTAAATTTTGGACCACTTTAGTCACATCCTGTATAATTCGCGGTAATAGAAAAATTGTAGCTTAAACATAAATTCATGAACTTCACATAAACACTTCACTTTTCCTTCATCTCTTTATAGATTAAATCGTATGTTACTTATTTTATTTTTAGTTTTATATTAGCCGTTGGGCTAATACGTCTAGGTACATATACATACAAAATAATTATAAGGGCACAAACGTCGCGTTATGACAGTATTTTTTGTTGCGGTTTTGGTATTCGTTTTAAACAGTCATGGTATTTTTTCTTACAAAATATCTAGAAAACTAGAAACTTAAGGGTTCTAAACGATATAAGCTTTATTGGATGTGGAGGTTATTGCTTAACGTTCGGTATAATTTTGATTGGTTTTACATTTATGTACGCAGCCTTACATGAATGTACCAATAACTCGGCGATTGTTAGTGTTGATTGTATTTTCGTTTGTTCCAACAACACCAAATTAGTCCCGTACGTTAAAAAATAATTTACATAGGAGTAATTCTTCTGGTCAGTTTTTTCTTTGTTGAATATTTTTAAGACGGTTGTTGGCGCAAACTCGTATCGTGTACAGTTTGGCGGGAAATTAAGTACTAGAACTATGGATTAATTTTGAGGGATTTTTTTGAAAATTCAAGGCTTTGTTGTGAAAAATTGTGTACGTTATTATTTTTCAAAGTATTGCCCATCGCTAGTGACTACTTTTTCTCGTGTTTCTGACAGCGTACGGATTTGGCGTCGAAAGAACAACTCATCTTTTGGTGCTATCCACTGATAGATCCAATTTTTCGTATCTTTGTAAGATTGCAAGCGCCACGTTCCATTTCGGCGTTTCTAAGTATTTTCTGACTTTATGAGCAACATGTGGTCGAGCGTTATTATGTTGAAAAATTATGTTATCGTGCTTTTCCTCGAACTGCGGCCGTTTTTCCTTTGTTTTGTAGCGATCTCCCGTGATGGTTTCATTCGGTTGAAGCATCTTATAGTACCCAAGATCGAGCTGGTCCCACCAAATATAGAGCATGAGCTTCGGATCATGAATATATGACCTTGCCGTCATTGTTGATGCATATCCATACAAACCCGACGATTTTCGTAACATCCCTTTTTCATCGTCAAGTGACGGTACAAAAAAATCCTTTCTTTTTGCCGTTGAGCAATTGTTCTCAGTAAAAAATTGCCGTTCAACGTCTCTCGGCTTCAATTCGTATCGCACCCCATTTCCTTGCTTTCGAATCATACCGAGTGCATTTAAACCTTTGAAAACCGTTCTGCGATCAACATTCAACGATTCAGCATGTTCACTTGCGTTTGACATGAATCTTGGTCGAGTAAGGCCTCCAATTCCTCATTTTCGAACTTTTTCTGTTGACCAGGGCATTATTTGTCGACTGAATCGAAATCACCACTTCTAAGACGTCGAAACCAATACTGACATGTTTTTATCGGTGAAGTATGTTCACCCTAAGTTTCCAACAGCATTCTTTAGGCTTTTAGCAGCACATTTCTTTGAACTAAACAGGAAATGGTGGCTCGTAATTCGACATCTCAGCAAAATGACACACAATAAAAAGCTTTGAGGTGAATATAGTTACAGGAGCGTCCGATGCGATATAGCATAAGTTACGCCATCTATCGTAAATCCCTCAGAATTAATTCACAGTTCGAGTGTATTACTGTTGCGGTGTGCTTGTAGCTTTAGAACTAAGCAGGATATTTTGTTAGTTGTTTTTTATTGATAAGCAAGAGCATTTATATATTGATATCGATTAGATTGTATAGATTTTTAGAAACTTTTCTCTATTTTGAATCGCAAAGTAGTTGGTAGTTCTCTATTCTCTATATATAAAAAAAAAACAGTTATTATGTAGGCACAGAATTATATCCAAGGGCTATATTGCACGTAATAATTCAAATGTTGGCGATTTTCTACTCTTTATCAGTTAAACATATGAATAGGGCTGTCAGAACTGTTAAGCGCAATAAAATGAATTACGTAGAAAATAAGCATTAAATTATTACAATTTATTATAATGCATCCAAAACTCACCCTAAGGCAACAGTATACTATCGCGACGGGAACATAAAAAGCATTCTGAGGCAACGGTTCGCGCATGTCTCGGTTGACTCGCTTGGCACGCCATTGAATTGCGGCTCTCTCTGACAGCCCTACATATGCAGTGAAGATATTTTTTTAATATTTCGAATTAATCTATTCTCGTTTTTTGGAAATATAAACGGATATTCACGAATGATGCTTGCTGTATTCCGACTTGATTTGAAATTAATTTCAGTAATATTACCACATTTATTCAGTGCCAAATTGAAAAAATGGAAATTAACTTTCTAGAAAAATAACGCGTATTCTTTTGTGTAAAAATAATTTTGTATCTAAGAAAATGTAGTCATATTTTCTTTAAGGGGGCTCTATAGCAAATAGGCAACTAGCAGTACATTTTTATACTGGCTATCCGATGGTGACCTTGACATTGACTTTGACCTTGAAGCTCATTTCAAGGTCAAATGTGATTTTTCAAATGTGCTAGCCAGGGAGAAATCCAGAAACTTTTGTATTTAACATTTTTCTCTAAAATGCTCTCCTGCTGAGTTATTCTGCCATTCCTGTACTTTTGTTAGTTTGACCTTGTGGGGGCCCCAAGGTCAAAAGGGAGGGGTCACTCAAGGTCATATCAACGTAAAATTTTCCGCTTCATTTCTGGGCTCAAAAGTATAGGGTCCTATTTGAAAAATCATATTTGACCTTGAAATGATCTTCAAGGTCAATGTCACCATCGGATAGTCTAGAAATTTGTAATATGCCGCTTTTGAACAAGCAAATTACAAATTTCTTTACACCAGAAAGTAATTTGACTTCAAAATAAGTCCATTTTATAGAAAATCTGCATTAAAATGGAGGAAAGTCTGTTATTGCTGCATTGATTCATATTTAGACAAACTGTGTAATAAAATCTACAAAAATGTATTACTGGTTGCCTATTTGCTATAGAGCCCTCTTAAATGGGTAAGCGAAATGAATGTCCAAACTAAATAAGATATATATGTATAACAAAAAGTAGAAAATTGGAATAGCAAACAGTGTACGTAGTGGGCGACCAATATATATTTTTACAAAATAGTAACCCGTA